TTAGGTATAGCCGTGTAATAAGATAATACATAGCAACTTTCAACTGATCACTACCCCTAGTATATTTAAAAAAACGCGGTTTACTACCGCTGCCACCTTCTAAAGCTTAGCTCAAGGCAATAAGCAATATTATTTCTCTGACATAAAGATGCGAAAGCTTCAGTACCATTACAAATGGTACTGAAGCTTTCGCATCTCTATGTCCGCACAGAAAACGCTATTGCTTTCGGGCTGAAGTGTTCCATGACTTACCAAATCTTTACTAGCAATAAAATCTATTAAGCTCAATGTATCTAAATTATAGGCGATTTATGGCTCATGAGGTTTTAACCATGCCACAGATAGAATCATATATCGATTCAAGTCTCGGATAAGACAACGTTTCACTCTGTCGAAGACCTTTAGCTTCATATGAAGCATAAAAACTGAAACCTCAATCAGTGCTTCCATCGCACGGGTATCGTATATGTATATGTCAACGTCATTACTCTCGTGTATTGTTATGAATCGTGCCAGTTACTTGTCGTACATAATTGCACGACACATATATATCTATGTGATTTATGGCTTCACAAACGCGGCCAATAAATTAAAGTTGTGGTATCATTTTTCTTATAGAAATTCACTTGATTTAGGACTGGTCTTTATGGCAGCCACATGATACGACTCACTCATATCTCTGCTATTCGCCCTGTGTCTACTTAGGACAGTCGATTCCCCGCAAGGGGGCTAATGCAAGATTAGTTGTACCGCTCCATCAAGAGATAAGTAAGCGCACAGAACGTTTATGTCTGGTACCGCCATAGATGTAGCATCAGCAAATATCGCGGTAATTAGCATCGGCAGCTAAAGATCATCATTTTTCTGCTCAGTATGACTTGATTCATTGCCTCTTGTATGCTCGTATAAGCTAAATCTCCAGTACATAACCGACTGTCGCGATTTGAAAGTTGTACTCCATATTTAATACAGCCCCAGCACATCCTCGTGCAGAGATTAGGTGGACGCAGAAATTCACGGTTCGGGTCGCACCCTCCTCCACAAGATGGTAGTTCCGGGTGGCGGTATGCTACAAATGCGGCGATGACAGCTTTCAAATTTTGAGCCGTAATTTTCTCTTTCTTGCCTCACGTGACACGTGGCAAGGATTTTAATCACACACGGTATGCCAGGTTTGGCGGTGTGAACATCGGCGACTTATGTTGCTTCGACACTTCCCATGTTTATAATTCTTTCCTATATAGAGACTCCGCACATAAATTCGCATTCTGCGCGCAAACTATTCAATCGGCTCCCACTGACACAACGCGCTGTTCATCAGAAGTTTGGCCGACCTCGTGGCTATCCTCGTGGCTATCTCAACCTTTTTTTGTCGGAATTTCAGCTGATTCCGCCGAAGGGCTTAGCGGATAAAGCAAGAAGGAAGCCGGTTCTCCTTCTACTAACTTCTGGTTAAGACCTCTCTCGTTCTGTCTCACCGCGCATTTTCACTGCTAACAAGCGCATTCAGGCGAGAGATTATCCCTTACAGCCTTTTGACCGCCAAGTGCACTATCTTCCTGGGCTACCAATAGACATGAGCTTATAAAGCGTGTATGGCTGTCCAGGGGACTGATTTTTATTCAGGATGTGTTCTACTTGTATGAAGAATATAGACTATATATATTCGGTCGTTGAGCACGAACACACTTGACGAACACGTGCTTTCAAGTGCAAAGGGTGTTCATGTATCTCACTTAGTGAAAGCTTAGAGGTTAGGCTTGTACTCTCCTCCCAGGAGTGGAGCCGAGAGACCGTCAAGTAATCAAGACTTACTTCGCGATTTTAAGTCAAGAGTGCCATAAAATAGCATCTAAACAACTACTATATATGTTAATATTTACAATACTCTGTTGTGGCAGCCCACACGTCCGAAGGACCTCTTTTTCGGTGTTCTATCTCATTCAACCGCACCAGACTGTTGCGCTTTGCTCAAAGATTAAGGACCAATAGTGTGACTTGAGCATACACTATGATCCGGCTGTACTCCGTCAGATGATGTAACAAATAAAGAAAGAGTCACGAGCTGCTACTCATCACTTACACTTGTGTGCTTGAACAATTCAATCGTTAAATTGAAATCAAATCTTACAAATGATTAAAGAGCTCAAAACTTTGAGCATCAAGCACGTGACGTTACATTTGATCATGAAGACATCCCTTACAAATCTCTAGCTACCAAGATGTGCCGTGCCATACGAATGTGCGTTTTGTCATACACACACATCTGCTCACATTTGACAGATTGAATCACCACATACAATGTATTTATAAAACTATAGAAAAAAGAGCCTCTCTTGCAAAAACACGGAGGTATTCTTCATTTAAAAGCACTTACTCTTCAAAGGATTCCATACATTCATCATGTGATGACGACAAAGTATGTTGAGAATATGCTTTTACCCTCTGATGTGAGTGGAATGAAGTCATCACTAGTTTGTTGTGTCCGAGAAGCACATTTTGTTTCAATTCACTGTACAAATCTCATAAAAAGATTGGAGCATTAAAGCCGTCCGTTTCCAATCCAGAATGAAATACTGACGACTTTTCATACGTGGATATGTCAGTCAAATGTTTGTTGAAATCAAAAGATCCGCGACCCTTTAGACAAGATCTTTCCGTACTTGAAGCCGTTCACAGCAAAGCCAAACTAATTTGATTCTCCCTTGACTCATTGACCATTCTCGATTTTGCCTTGGAAACGTCACTTTCATCGCGATCAAGAAGATAATCGTCATGAAAATTCTTGGATTTCTTGCTCTAGGATTTCCTCTCGAGGTTTTCGCGGGTTTTACATCGTTCGGTCTTAAGGATTCTCTGCTAGCCGAAAGCAGCGAACGTACTGTTTCGTTTGCTTCGCTTCCGTTCGATCTCCCCAACAATGCTCTTCTTTCCAACGACATTCTTACTCAATCTTTCAAGAATTATAACTTAAATGAAAATGGACGTATTGGATGTACTACCACGAGTACGTCCAAGGAAGACGAAGAAGTGAGTGTAGTACTTGCTTTTTCAAAATGCTTGAACGAGTCGGCACTGAAAGTTGTGGAGCAATGGGTGAATCAAGTCAAGTCGACGTTTGTTCGTAGTGCCTCTGCGACTGATTTAAAAATCAAGTTTCAATCGACAATGGTACCTGGAGCTTGTGAAGAACGCAGCGAAAAAACGAAGCATGGTCTTGAGGATCCAGATATGGCGAATCAAAGTGGTGCGACTGTCTTTCTTGCTGACAAGGTGGAAGCCCACGACTTGAAGCGATTAGAAGCATTTCCTGATCTTGGCGCTGTCATTGATTTGGCTCAAGAAAATACTACCCTTGATATCAATCCAATCGCAGTGATTTCCTTTGTGAGTGGTGAAAAGTCGTACCACGAAGTTCAGAAATTTGAGGCCTCGGCTCATGTATCAAAGACGTTCAACTTTCGTATTTGTAAAAGTGGAACAAATTGTGAGGGAGAGTTTGAAAACTGTATCGACTTGCCAGAAGTGGTGGATTTATTCATGTACAATCCATTTACCGTGACGAGATCGTTGGAATGTGCGAACTTAGACAACGGCGTTCCGGTCACATACTTGGATGCGAATGGTGCTCGACAATGCTTTTGCAATTGTCCTGCTGGGTATGAGATGACAGAGAGTGAGTATGGTCTTCCAACATGTACAAAAGTTACTGAAGAAACTTGTCCATGTGTTTGGGCCAATGTCAATGGATTTAAACATCAAGTGACGACGGATGAACCAGTGTGTTTGTTTCAAGACGTGGCTTCCAACTGGGGACTACCGGTGCCATTCCCGACCGATGGATACGTTTCCGACAAACGTGATACTTTGACTGAAGGATCAAAAGATCCACGAATTACTCTTTACGTTGATCGTCAACAAGATGCTGAATATAAACGAAGTGATATTCGTGGAGCTGTTGGTACGGGAACGTCGTACCCATTAACATTTCAAGAAGTTCTCGGTCTCTATCCAAGTGCTTCGAGCTTCTCTCCTGTTATCGAACACGGACAGGACAAAACGATACTTCACGAGATTCTGACATGGAGAGAGTACCAAACAAACCGTGATACTCATATAAACGACTTGACATTCACGTCATATGGCAAGTATCATTTGAAAGTGAGTGCTTACGATTACTTTTCGAGTGCGACTTGTGATGGCTGTCTTGTGATTGTCGACAACAATCGACCGAAAGCCACGACATCGTGCCCTCTTAGCTTTTGTGACAATATTGCTGATCCTCAATGTAAAGATACGGCTGTATTGACAATTGAGAATCTAGACAAAGCTAATGCACTCGTAACTCAGTACCTTGATTTCGCAATCAAAGCCAAGAACGATGCCTGTAGTATGGCGAATCGCTGTGATCAAACCTCCGTGAGTCAACGCAACTTTTTTGAGAAAGAGTACACGAATCACGACTCGAGTTTCGCTTCTCAATGTTTTGACAAGGATAAAGTTCTGAATGATTTACTGACTTCAGAAAAGATTAAAACCAATCCGCTGGTTCAAGCTGATAATAATTGTGATAACACGATTGCACCTGTTCCTCCAAGTCAGTGTACGAAATGCTGCAAGATGGCGACATCGTTAAAAGAGTGGTGGACAGACTATCGTTGTGGCTCTGATTATGATGTACGATCCTGTGACGGCGATAGCGATCAAAAATGTCATTTTGATCAATGCCTTGTTGTAAATGGTGATACTATGGCGACAGTCACTGCTTCGATTACAGAAGACGCTAAGACAGCATCCGAAAAGGTTTTGGCTCAAGTAGAGGAGCAATCCTACCAAACTGTGACTCAAATTCATCGAGCACTTGATTGTACGTCATTTGGTGGTACTGATGGAGAGTGTGACTTTCGAGCGAAATTATCGGAACTTATCGACACAACTGAGACGCTTAAGTTCACATCGACTTCTAGTTCAAGTGATTACATCTTCTGGCGCTATAAACTCGTGTCTGAGGGAGAATCGTGGCAGCTTTGGAAGACTGGGAAACAAACGGACTATGGACAAGTATCGTACGAGAACGATGATGTGTTGACATTTTCAAATCCAGAGACAAAAGTCATTCTGGAAGCCTGGACACAATGTGGTCTAGTCCGACGTTTCTTTTTCTACGTTCATCTTCATGTGAATAGCCCCATGAGTGTGTGTGAAAAGTTTAATGACATGTGGTACCAAACGTCTGTTTCAAGACTGCCAATTGGCACAAGCATGTGTGCTTACCCAGGTAGTGACTTTGCTGAAGTCACGTTTGATTTCCATCCAAATGTTGGACTTCAGTACTCACGTGAAGAATTGCGAATGAACGTGTCAAATGTCGAGTGTACAGGAGCTTTAGAAGGTCGTTTACCAATTGAGATTCTTAAAGTTACTCAAGATTCACCTGAAATTGTCACGCGCTTTGCTGTCGAAATGCTGAATAAACCGACAACCGAAGCTGCAACAGACTTTCATGTTGAATGTGCTTTTACATACACAAAGTATAGTGGAGCAATAGCACTTGAAACATGCAAACGGGACTTTTCCATTTCAGATTGCAAAGGACCTGCATTTGATACACCGAATGCTGTTTGTGAATTTGAAGGATGTGCTGGCAAAGAGTTAGCGGGTTTATATGAAGCATGTGGTGGTACGATTGTCAAGGCTGATGAAAAGTGCACAATTGTTGAGACTGAAGATAAAAGCTGTTGCCAAGGATGTGAGACGACTCAAGTCACGTGTACGTCATTACTAGGTCTTCCAAATGCTAATACAGATATCAAACGATGTGAACCCAACACTGAAGGCGTCTACTCAAGCCCGAGCTACAGCTACGGAGCCGTGCTATTGACAGAGACTGCCCAAAACCATCCAGCTGCAACGGCTTTACTTTCTGCCACGGCACTCATTGCAGTCATCGCTCTTGTCGTTGTCCGTCATCGTGTCGTGACGTCGAAACCGGCTCCGATTGAGGAGGATGCCTATTATCCATTGCTTCACTAGCTTTCTACTTGGCAATTTTCTCGTCTCAGATGCTGTCATCTTTTGCTCTATCAGTTATGTCAAAGCAGATGAATCAGAATATCTTAGACTAAGAGCAGAAACCTTTTCATTCACAATCTTATGCTTGATTAGAATTGCAAGATGCTTAGATCACACTTGATTCATGTCGATCTGAATAACAATTTGACAACCAATTGAAAGATTCAAGCAACAAAGTTCACGATGCAGTCAGCACTCTCGTCTCCTGTTTTTGCATACATTGTTTTTCTGGCACTCGATTGTATTGTCTCCATTTTCTTCTTTCGGCAGTAAGAGAGAGGCAAATGACATTTTAAGAAGAGAGTGACTTTAAGTTTATCTTTGTAACTAGAGGTGTATTGTCAACTAAATTCGATGTAGTTGTAGCATATAGAAGTCGTAGGTTAGATTTACTTTTGTTAGTCGCCAAGGATAACGTAAAATGAATCGGACTATTACAATCATCTTAACGTCCTTAAATCCCACAATGTTAAAATGATACAATGGATCAAATTGGAAAAGGAAAAGAAATAAAGTCACTTTGGAAACAATTATGTTTCTTGAAGGCATAGTATTCATACAAGCGCTGTCATTACTACGTATGTAAAGCAGCATCGCTGTACTATCTTTCAGCTATAGCAATACCTCTTTGTTGTACTGTAAGTGTAGAAAGCATTTTATTAAGACTTTCCAGACGCTGTTGCTAAAACCCGTCAATATCTAACTGTGAAATCTTCTCAATATAGTAATACTATATAATAGTAGTTCTGCTATGAAATTATTTTAGTTATCAACTCATAAAAAGTCTCTATTTTCTAGAAGATCTAAATCATTTCTAGTTGTGAAGATTAAGTAATAAAGACTTATTCAAACTTGCTTCATTATTGAGTTATACTTCCGCACAACATAGTGTCTGTTTACTCAAGAAGTGGATGATACGCATCATCTATTCCCTGGTTTTTCGAGCCGCGACGCTTCACCACTACAAGTGCCACGACGGCAACCATCGCACTTGCTCCAAGAAGCGCCATGGTCGTCGTAGTTCCGCTAGTAAAGCGTTTTGGGCTTACAGCGGCGAGGCTATACGGATACACTGATGGGACTTCGCACCGCTTGATTTCCGTAGGACCGAATACAACGCAATTCAGATTTGGATCACAATTCGTGCAACACGTTTCTTCTGAGCTGGATTTGACAAAAGTCTTGTCGGCCTTAGATGTGACGATCGTTCCACCACATGCTTCATAAGCACCAGGCTTGCCATTGTCCGCACAGTCGTACGCGCAAACATCCTCTTCTTCCACGTCAGGATCAATCTGAGGCTTGTCGCAATCGGTGATAGTGAAGCTGTGGAAGCAAGTGATCGTATTCTCAGGGTGAAGAATGTAGTCATTGCCATTATTGCCATCATTGCCGTTATTGCCGTTGTTGCCATTGTTGCCGTTATTGCCATTGTTGCCATTATTGCCATTATTGCCGTTGTTGCCATTGTTGCCATTGTTGCCATTATTAACGATGACGCCATTATTGTACGACAAGCGAGTGAATGTACATTCAATGCGGAACACGGTCTTCGGGGCAGTATGAGGATTGTGAACGAGTTCAACTGCGAAATTTCTATTGATCTTGTTCTCGTTTGTTTCTCCAATTAATGTTGCAGGATTTACTGAATTCTCTGGCTCAGTACTATCGCGTACTCGGATGTCACACTTAACATCCTTGTACGTTCCTTTCAAGCGCTCGTACTCTTCCCCAACAGCAGCTGGAATAATAACATCGTAATCGTAGTCGAGATTAAAGAGACTGAAGTCACTATCGGGGACATTACAGTAAGTGTCTTCACCGTACACTTTAGCTACTTGTGGGGTCCACATGTTGGCAAATTGATCGCATGTCAATGTACGATGCAAATAAATCTTGACAATCAACTCGAACGATAAAATCTGTCCACACGCTGTCCATGCCTCAATACTTACGCTAGTACTCGATGCTTTAAACGTAAGTTCCGCATCATTCTTGGGATCCCACGTTGCCCAATCGTGGCTACCAGATTTCACTCGCCAGAACACATAATCACTTGCTTTCTCCGAATTTAATGGAAGATCCGTGACAAATTTGGGTCCACTTCCCGTTTTGGGTCCAATATCAACAACATCCGAGAGCTTGACTTTATAATGACACTTTGTGTTCGTACCAGTTTCATCGTACGAAGTGCATGGAATACTATAGTGGATCGTATTGGCAGTGTCCGTAGAGCCAGGTTTTTCCAATTCCGTTAAAACCTTTGTGGACTCAACAACAATTGAATTCTTGAGCTTGATTGTAGCTTCTGCAATATCATTACCCGTAGCCTTGATACATGTCTCCATCTTACATGTGCTACCTGGAAGGCCCACACATGTCGAGACTGGTTGAGTGCTGGTTGACGGACAGGTATACTCTGTATACTTTTCTTTCAAAGCAATGGACTTGGTACAACACCACGAACACTTGTCATTCAGACTTGTTTCGAGCTCGACATTCGGTCGTTTGATGTTTTCCGTAATACTAAATGGATTTCGTTTTAACTTGTCGACATTACACTTGACCCCATCTGGATTAAAGCACGTTCCTGAAAAAGGAGTTGGACTTGGATCGTAGAAAATCTTTTGTGTTGATGACGTGTCATGACAAGTAGCATCACTTTCGACATTATTCAATTGATTACTACTCGCAACGTAATTTTCATACTCAGTCTCATACTTGCTCACTTTCGAAATCGAAGCTGAATTGAATTTCAGTTGATCGGTTAAAGTGGATGGACATGTGCCTTCTTTGAAACGGGGACGATACGTATCTCGAACAGCAATGCACCCTTCACACTCTGCGTCGCGATCATAATCGTATGCATAAATATTTACGTCATACAGACCAACAGCTGGAAATCGAATATTATCCTGCGCTTTGGATGGATTCGTCATGTAGCCTGACCATGCGAGCATTCCCGTCGTAGTTGATTGAGGTTGACCCAAACCACTCTTTGGACCTAACGACGTAATCTCAATAAATGGATAGTCCGTTGCAGTGAGACCCGTATCGTACTTGTTCACACGCTTGTCACCCACGTAATTATCCGTTGGAACAGGTACACCCACGTTACAAGTAGATCCGAGTTTCAAGTCGTTCTTGAGCGAGTTCATCTCACACATCAAGTTTGAGTTCCAGTAACACTTGGCGTACGGATCAACAGGATACGCGTTCGAAGAGAGAAACGAAACAGGGGCTAGTTGAGATGCATTCTCTTGTTCCGTTGCTTTCAGATCACGCAGAATCGGACGACGGATCACCGCGTCGACAACCGTGTCGGAAGTAGCGACAATCGCAAGAATAGTTGCGATTCGCATAATTACGACAAGACAGGTGGGTATGAATGAATAAATTCAATTTCAAGGCTTGAGGCTTGCAAGGAAGATTGCAAAGTGAAATGTCCACTTTGCTTGGGCTTCGAAATGAAGCGCATTGAGAGTCAATGATGTTCTAAAGTTCGTTAAATACGATAGCGAAGCGTCGGATGCGTCGCTTTGATAAAGATCGCGGCGGCGGTTTTGGATATCGACGGTTTTTTCCAGATCTTGGAACGGAATCGTATTACATGATGTCCTTAAAATCAGGATACATTGTATCACTCATAATTTAATATAGGACCAAAATATTAATTCTGTTAACCTAGATATATTTTGTAAGAAACAATAGTATTATAATATAATTGATGAAAATCATGCTAACATCCTTACCATGGAAGCCAGCACTATTTGAAGCCTTTGTTCCTGTAGGCGAAACATGGTACAAAATGATTCGTAATGTCTTTCCATTGAGGAATTCCGATGACAAGATCTCCTGCTTCTAATCCGTCGATAATATTGTAGCAGCGCGTATGTCCGTCGATCCGAAAGTTGGTTCGAAAAATGTTTGAATAATCTTCGACTCCACCTAGACAGTCCGCTTGATACCGGCACATGACCATTTCCGTCTGTTCACGTGCTGCTTTTTCGTCGTAGCCAACTATTCGAGCTGCTTCGTAAAGCGCAATATTCCAACGCTTCATCTTTTCGTCATCATTTGTTCCTTGTTCAATGATTGGGCGTGGATGTTTCGAGAACACTTTGTTTCGACTTGCTAATAGTGTCGTGATAGTTCCATTCACTGCCGACAATGCAGTAGCATTAATGCAGTTTTGATACATGTTTGCTAATCCCCCACTGATTGCGTAAGTATAGCTATATTCTCCCAAATCTTTGGCATCAACATCATGTACTTGTACGGCAAGTCTTTGAAAAACGGGTAGAGAATATTGTTTGGATCTTGCCATACGTTAACAAGTGTCGTGCCATCACTTCCATTTACACGCATTGTCACGTTTTCATCATTTGTGTAATACCCAGACGTCCTTTTGGCACATGCTTTAAGCCATCGAGAATCGCTGCTTTTGTCGTTTGACGAGAGTACAACATTTGAACCACCAACTTGACACTTTAAATAGATGACTTGTAGCAAGTCGATGAGACCATGGTGAAGATAAAAGATCGGGTCAGCTGGAGATTGATAAAACGCCATGACACCATTGAGAGCGCTATGAAGTGTGTCTACGAAACAGTTTGATCCAATTAGTACGATATTGTATGCTTTTCAAACATAGGAAATGTATCTTTGAAAACTTACTGTGGATACCACCTTCAACGGCTTGTGTAAACTTCGCTGAATCACTATACGTAAAAACTTGTTGAACGACTGATCCCAGTGATGCCTCTCCTGGGTAGCGTGCATTGTTAAGGAATGTCTTGCTTCCTCGAGTGATACACTTGGCACAAACGGAGTTATTGCCACAGAAATGTGAGAGAATCCCTTGATTGACACAAGTCGAAGAAGAGGCAGCAATCGATACATTGTAGATGATTAAACGCGTTGTGACACCCGTCATGGCACCCCCTGAATCGGTTAGGAATGGTGTGCAGCTTAAAAGCGAATTACATTGTCCAGAAGCTTGACGAGCGTACGCTGAGAGATGGTCCCAATACGGAAGTGTTAAACAATTATACTTGGAATCTAAACTTCGGAGCATGTTTTCGTAACCTAGCAATAGCATCCGATGCCAATAGATAAACATACAATTTTGATGTGCTTGCTTTTCCGACATGAAGTCGACATGAATTTGAACAAACTTTTGATGATATCCTAGATCCATTGCAACACTTACCGCTTCCAAGTATTGAGCCTTCTCTGTCATATTGTATGTATCCCAAGAACGTCGAACGCGAGATTCAGAGCATTTCGTATCTGTTTGTTGTCCTTCGACAATTAAACTTGCGAAACACAAGAAAGCAGCGATGACGATGACAAAGTTCATTTTTGGAGACCCCATCTTCGTACCCAATTCCTTTTCAAAAGATATTCTGAAAAGTAAACGATGGCACAGTTGAATTGAAGTTGTGGATCTTGTCACGACGAGTCGCATAGATTGTGTGGAAGATATCCTTTTCAATATTAGAAAAGAGGTGATACATGTGACTACGTTACACAGTGATCTATGTAAAAAGAAGGCATCGATTTCATTCTCTTAGAAACAATACATTACACTTTTGCTATTACAATGAGGGATATACAGATTCCAACTAAACAATTGTTGCCGGTAGATGATGACAATAGAGGTCGAAAAATATTTATCCCACAGCACAGATTCTTCGGGACTGTGACAGCTATATATTTTATTCTGTGAGATCTACTGGTCGCAATTATGTGTTATAAGACTCGTAAATGTCACCTTATTCTTACGCTTCCGGGCTCCGGTACTCCGTGCTCGATGCTGGAAATCTTGATGACACGGCGACTGAAAAGTGAAAATCGCACCTTGGAACCTCAAATTGGGAGTGCGCTAGAGAACCCAAAATCACAGGCTTCGAATTATTCCCAACAAAGCTGAGCTGAAACACGTGGAGACCCAAGAGGGCTGCTGCATCCTTTCGCGAGGACGCGGCACTAGCTGCCGCGTTAAGTCGGTATACGTTAAAAAGGGTAAATTGTGTGCGCGGAAAATGCACGTACGTGTCCTTGCCATCAGAGAGCCGGATGACTTGGTGTCTAGGCGGCTTGAGGGGATTACACGCTCTAAAGTATGTATGAGTGGAACGCTGCTTGAGCAGCGAAAGGCGAAAGCCGGGACACCCAAGCGGCGACTAAATTATGGATTTGATGGTGCAGCGGCGGTGAGGTTCGTGCGCGCAATTAACCAGCTCTTCTCTTATAGGTTCCGCTCTCTGTCACCAAGTGTCTGCTCAACACTTGAATAAATTGTAGGCGACTTCACTTTCGGTGTAAATACGTGACAGTCGGGAGCGAAAGGGTTGCAGAGCAGCTTGACCGGAAGGGTGTCGGTCACTTGTGCAGGAGGGAAGTCAGCAAAGTATCTGAGTGACAAGCGATTATCTCGGTATATTGTAAGATAGCATTACTCTTTTGTAGACTCGAAGCATGTATTATGATCTCATGCTACACGTTGATAAGGTTTGATCAACATGTGCATGTTAAGAGAATATATATAATATCAGTTAAAGGTAGCTTGTGGTCTCAGTCAGTATGAACACGATATTTTGAGAAACGTTAAGTGGCGCGCGATCTGGCAACTGAGGGGCGGCTGCTGAATTTATCATCTGTGCGTTGGTCAATGCGAACTCTAACACTGCTGTGGGAGGTACATGGCAAAGATGTTCCCATTTCTCGTCAATACGATGACTATGTCTGTACATGTCTGAATTGGATCATAATATACATGATCTGTTCACGTGTCTGTACCAAAACACAACAAGACTTGCTAAACAATCTTCAGTCGCTAAATAATTCTGACAGGATAGCGTATTGACGAAAGCAGAATTCAATCGCCTAGAGGCGCTCGCCTTTCACATCAAGGATGCTTCATCAATGCGCGAACGGTATCGTTAGCCGCAAATTCAACTTGGCAGTTGTCCGTCGTTTGGCTGCGGATATCAACAGCCTAATCATTACCAATTACCAGCTTTTTACGAGAACGTACTGACAAATCGCACGTCCCGAGCTTGTTAATTGGCAGCGAGGATGATGCAGCACGTTATCTCTAAGCCTGCGTTGCTCCCCGTAGTTACCGCATTAGTTGCTGGGGTGGTATACGAATGCTGATTTGATTGTAAAACACTCATCCTTAGCAAATTATTTAACGATAAAATTTCGACTCAGCGTCTCACATAGGTCCGCTAATACGAGCAGACTCGGAAAACGATTAAAAGTTCAACGTGCTGGCTCAGATTTCTGGGGAGGCCTCGCATTTCCGTATATACGTGATTATTCCTTGTCCAGAGAACTTAGATTTTTTCGGCAAAAGTGCATTTAATTCCTCCAAATACAACTCGACATCACAGGTAGCAACTAATAACAGCGCGCTAAAATTCTATTGTGTCGTAGCTCATTGTCAGGTCGATGCGACAAATCGTTGGCAGCACGTTTGGAATCTAGGATTGTGACGGCATGATCTAAAATATCACCCCGCGATGCTTGACTTTCTGCTGCATACAGCAATTCAGAATAAGTGAACGCTACAAATTGCCTTGATGCTGTCAGAAGTATTCCGGTGGAATGGCTTTCACACCAGTTTAAGCCTTTCAAAATCATCCAAGACATGAGCTTCGCAAGCTCCGTGTACCTGGCCATGTTACTATGCATAAATCAGCCGCGTTTAGGCTCCTTTAAAATCATAGAACATAATTTCTCGAGGTCCGCACGATTTCTCTGCTGCTAACATATCAATCAAAGACTTTCATGCCCGTGGCACCTAAGATACAATTGTCAAAGTTGGTATTAAGCTTGTGCACTCTCATTACCCTAATCATAAATCGACATTCTTAGATGTGTCTTAGTGTTCAACAATACTATTGTTCTAAAGGTCGGGATATATCGCTCTGATCAGCTAGTATATAGCATAGTCTTTAGTATCCATTCGCGTTCTGACTTCAAGGTGAAAGAGGCGAGTGTGGGAATCGCAATGCTCATTCCATGACGTTTTGCATCTTTTGCGAATATTGGTCATCTCGCATCAACTCGCAAGGCCCAATTACATTGTAATTTGTGGTTTACTTCCCTCTTCTGCTGAAGATGAAACGACAGCTTTTTTAGACAATCCCATTTCTGTGCTCCATAGGTGATGGATTCACCGGATGTTTCGATGTTTGGAAGCCCGGTCGCGTCTCGCGCTGCCTGTAATAAAACTTTTTCACAACGGAGGAGAAAGTAAGCGGTTGAAAGTAGATATCGACTTCAGAGCCGCCACTAACCGCACTATCATTAACTGTAAACCTGGCAAAATACTCCTCAAATATGAGCTTAGTGAGATTCAGTACCTCTGATATGCTGTTACCGGAATGACACCTTCTCTCAAGTGACGACTCGTTATGCTGTCAGAGATTTGATGACATTTCTTGCTCAATTCTGTACGGCGGAGCAAATTTATCGACTCCTGGTCGACTGTGACTTGGGAAGGTTACTTCATCAAGATGTTTAAGGCTCTTCGGGTGTACTTCATTACAAGGTATGCCTTTCATGCACCCCATATGAAGGCTCGTTTTCTTTCCGGTACGGCATACCACATCCACTAGCTAGTTGAGTGCTACCCTCTCCCATCATTATGCAGAAGTTCCATTGGGATATTAGTACCCGTGCTTCTAAAGTAGATATACACTTATGATACACTCCGGCTGGCTGAGGTCAACGTATTAAATTTTAGCATTGTTCGACTACGTCAATACTAGCAGCAGCATTATTGCTGCTTTAGAAGACATGACATTACCTGACAAGGTATACGTGCCTGCAGGGGAATGTGTTCAAAGTGCGGCCTGGTTTACTTTCTCTAAAATCTAAGCCAGCGTCCGTAATTTCTTCGGCGCGAATCAAGCTTTTTTCTCAGGTCACCCATGAACACTGTCAATACGATGTATTCAGGTAGGGGCATCTCGCCTGTATAACCATCCAATAAGCGCACCATCACAAAATGGATCTTAAGTAGGTTTTGGACCACAATTCTAGCCAAGCCCTCAACTCCGATACACTCAATTGCACGCAGTCGATATCAAGGTACCAATTCGTGTCATACCTACTCATCTAGCACATATTGACTTCGCTTACGAAAGCCAACTCGCAAAGCAGAGCTTCCGGATGAATAAACCTTTTCCTTGCCTTCCATGAGAAGTACCTTACTGGTTCGATACACCAGGTTGTTTTTGATCTTCAGAACATATTCCTGTGCCATTCGACCAAATCAACTCGTTGCATCTTATCAGCGTATGGCTCTCTGCGCTTTTAACCCGATTTACTTTCAATCACTGACGTGCCCGCAATGCATACTTTGTGATTAAGTATAAATAAGTTGATGATTTGTCTTATTTCTAAACATTTTCAAACTCAGGATATTCTCTCCCACCAAATCAGTGGTGAATATCATACCCATTAATAAAGACACAGATGTAGCCTCTCTCAATCTCAATTACGTACACTTAACTATCAATATCTTACCGTTGCCTAATCTGTCAGCTTTTGGTTCTCACCACTTCAACAAATATAAAAATTGTGTCGAGAGCCAGCCATGCAGGATCTACCATGCGGTAAAAATGACGATACCGGTACATAAATGCTCATTTTTGTCCTCCATTTATACACCAGCATATCACACGTCGCATACTAGATGGCGGACCTTAAAGATGTCCCGCATTCCACTTGTTGATTCGCTTCCAAGTTCATTTCCATTATCTACCTCCCCACCATCATGGACAGCACTGGAGCTACAATGCGCACACCGCGCACACGACGTCGTGATCTTGGTAGTCTCTTGGCACCAGAGTCATCGGCTATAACTCGCAGTTACGATGGCAACTCTTTCTTGTCGACGCGTGGTCTTCCGCCTCTTGCCGGTGGTAATATGAAAACGCCGCGCCATTCGTACCACCAGCGACGCGCTGACATTGCGGCCGCTGAAGTGGACGATCTTGTCATGAATATGGAAGAAAGTGCTTCGCTCTTGTACACGACGGATGATCTTACGCTTACTTCTACGCAACGAAAGATCAAAATTGGACTCTATGGCATCCTTAATACTGTCATTCTTGTACCTCTTATGATCAGTTTCGCACAAATTATCTTTCGCGATCCCGAATTTCAACCTTATATGAACGATCTTGTCAAACTTGTGCTTGTATCGGCTGCTGTACATCAGATTTGCTTCACGTGCGTTAGCTCACTCCCCTTTGCGATGGGTCAAGTGCAAGATGCTGGTCTGATATTTCTTTCAGCTATGTGTTCGTCAATCATTAAGTCACTGCACGTGAGTAAAGGAGATGAGTTTTCGATGGAAGAAGTGTTGGCTACTACATTATTCACAATGGCCGTGTCAACAGCTGTCTTAGGAGCTGCATTGATTATTACTGGCAAATTACGCTTAGCGAGTTTTGTACAGTACTTACCTATGCCTGTTGTAGGTGGCTACCTTGCTTTCATTGGATTCTACGCACTTCAAGCGGGTGTGTCCATGATGACTACGCAGAGTATTAAGGAACCGGCCGATTGGATTAAATTGGCTGATCCAAATGCATTGATGCTCTCTGTGCCCGGTGTCGTCGCGGGATCAGCCATCTTTTGGATTAATTCGCGCTGGAATCACATGGGGGTCATGCCTTGCTGCTTAGCAGTCATGCTCTTCACCTTCTATGGTTTGCTGTTAATCACAGGTCGGTCGCTAGAGGATGCACGCGCTGCTGGATGGGTTGCTGAGCCACCTCCTTCTCCGCGAACCATCACGCAGATTTACGGCTTTTACAACTTCTCAAAAATCAATTTTTCCCACATGACTGACCAGATTCCAACGTGGATTGCGATGTACTTTGTTGTGGCATTCTCGTCATCGCTTGATGTAGCTGCAGTTGAAACAGCATTGGGTAAACCACTTGACCACAATCATGAACTGCAAACTGTGGGTGTCAGTAACTTGTTTTCGGGTCTTGGAGGTGGCTTTACTGGCTCTTACCTCTTCTCGCAGACCATATTTACTCTACGCGGCAAACTTGACAGTCGCTACGTTGGTCTAATCGTTTTTGTTCTTGAAATTATCATTGTAGTGAGCCCTTTTTCTATTATCGCGTATGTGCCCAAAGTCTTTTTTGGTGCTTTGCAAATGCTCGTGTGTCTTGACCTCATGACCGAGTGGCTTTGGCATGCACGCAACAAGCTTCTTCCTCGCGAATATGGAATTGTTTGGCTTACGTTTTTATCGATGGTTTTTATTAATCTCGAGCTTGGTATTGTGGTTGGCATAGTAATTGCTGGATTTAATTTCATCTACTCGTATGTTGCAACGTCCAGGGTACATCGTGTCATGAAACGTTCGCGCGTTGAGCGTGATCTTCGTGAGCGTGTTATGCTTCAAAATATGCGCATGGCTATTGTCACATTAGAATTGGAGGGATTCATTTTCTTTGGCTCGAGTGTCAAAGTGATGGATGAAGTGCGTCGTCATGTACTTGTGACCACAACAAAGAAACAAGACGTCAATACCTTAAGTGGTGCATCGCCCATGGTTCCGCGTCATGCACCGTCTCCATACGTGGCTCGATCTTTAAATGACACGTTTAACGATGATCTGACGACATTAGATTCAGTATTTGATGATCATGAGATACATGGTTACTCGTCTACGCCAAAGGCTGGTAACGACGAATCCTCGAATCTTCACGCTGCTCGTACACGATACTTTATTTTAGACTTTGACAAGGTGAGCGGCGTAGACGCCACAGCAGTACGAAGTTGTTTCAACGCGACTAAGGAATTGCTTGCTCAGCATGGTATCATTCTCATTTTTGCCAGTGTTCCGACGGATGCCGAGCGACTGCTGCGCGTCCATGATGTAATTGAACAAGAAGATGGATCTGGTGGTGGATCTCTTGTATTTGATACACTCGACAAAGCACTCGAGTGGTGTGAAGACGAGTTACTGGTTTCGAATGGCGTGTTCCCGCTCAGTGAGTCTGCGCCAGCGATTACCAGTAATGAGGAAGGTCATCACTGGCAATTGCTTGACGATCTCTTGCCACGTCCGGACAAATTGCACCAAAAGACTGATCTCGTTAACTCTCAGCGTAACGAAGACGCTGGATCGGTGCTTACACGAAAACGTGGTGAAACGTACGTCACGTACATGCTGAAGAAAGAGGGTGATACGCTGTACCGTGCAGGTGATCTTGTAAATGGCGTCTATTTTATCGGCTACGGTAAAGTCGATGTCTTTTTGCCATCCAAAATCCATGAGGGCTTAGGTCCCGGCTTTCGAGGTCGCAAACGCATTACAAGAGTGTGCCAAGGTGGTTTAGTTGGCGCATCCGAGTTGATTCTTCACAAGCGGCACCAATTTTCTGCGCAGGCTCAAGCACCCACATCGGTTTTTTTCTTAAGCAAGTCGCATTACGCACGTATGCAAAAGGCTCATCCTGCCTTAGCTGCGCGCTTTCAGCAAGCTATGCTACAATCCATGGCAATTGGTGTACTTGAGTCGAACATGACAGACGATTAAGTATAAACCTTTGTAAATGTGATCGATCAGGCGTTATACCACCACTTTCGAATTGAGGCGCGGTAATGTCCTACTCTTGCCTTTTAAGATATGGACCTGTACAATTAGCTGTGCTGTTGCTATGCTAAGAGTTTCACTAAAACTTCTCTTGTCTATTCTGAAGCATCGATTGTTTAGCGCATCACGGAAGTGCAGTAAGTAGCGCTACTGAAAAAGATACTATAATATTGTGTACTAGATGGAAGCGTTTGTCCATGCTTTTTAGTTTTTTGTATACTTTAATAGCGTAAAGTTATGGTCTCAGTATATAGCTCTGTAGGAGTCAATAATACTGTCAGTCGTTAATACATTTGCCGGCAGGATGAAGATAAATCTATTCTTCTGATTAAGACGATCATGAAATCGGTACCAATCTCCAAGATAGAAGATCGCGCGTAAAAACGAGCATTGATACGTCGTTAATTATATTAAAAACATTCCACATTAAAGCAGACATCACTAGCCTCTGTATCGTCTGAATCGGTTTGCAACGTGCACTCAGAAATAATATCAACTGGTCTTCTCTTCCTTCTCTTTCTCTTCTCTTCGAGATTACTTTACTGCAAAACTCGGCTAAATATCCAAAACTTAGATAGCCAGAATTTTGCTGACCCTACGTTTTGTCGAAATCAGTAAAATTTACCATATCATGGATAGGTGCGTCTAGCATTTAGACCTCTGGCGTGCAATTTACCTTTCGGGTGACAAAATGCAAATCATACCATCTGATTTGTAAGGAATTGTGCACAATTAATGATTGTGTAATCTCAAATATCCAAAACCATGAAGATGGTCTTGAAGAAACGCTTTATGGAAAAAGTGGGCTGCTTGTCGGGCGGCAAGAAATATAGAGCGGTTTATTTTGAGTTATGCTAAGACGTATATACTTAGTATTTGTTAGAATAGAATACATCCCAAACGTATCTCAGGAGTGAAAGAACAAAACTAGCTAATAATTAAGTAGCTGTAAAAGCTCTCCTAGGCAGAGTACAGGACCCCCACCTGTATGAGTTTGACAACGAATACTTTTTGACTCGACTCTTTTTCTATGTTAAGTGTACAGCAACCCCGTTGCACTTGTGATCGAGTCTTACAAAGTCTGCAGTCTCTGTTCAAACATGAATGATCATGTAGCTGTTCTCGGGGAAATTAGACGCGCATGTAAGGTATGTCTGATGTTGGCCTCGACGGAATCAGAAAACTAGCGGTCAAAGGGCCAGATGAGACACTCGCTCGTCCAAAGGCGTTAATTATATACTAATAAGACACCTTCAGAAGAGCCCACGTCAAACTCTGATCGGGTGCCGGTGAACGAACAGATAGCAGTTGTCGCGAGGCCGCAGGTGTTGAGCACTACGTAAAGGTGGACGGCGAGCTCATCGTCGGGAAGCGTCAAGTCCCATTGGATGCAGGGTGGAAAGAAGCGAGTTCTTTTGTATACCGTTGTTGTGGCTAATGGGATCAGACTCAATATGAGAGGCTCTCTCCGAAAGAGGTAGGACTCATAGGACATTTTTGTTGAATGTTGATATCATCAGTGAATTTTTTGTGAAGCCGTAGAACGTCGTGATAGACTCAAGAGCGTCGTGTCACGTATTGTCAAAAACAGTAGAACGTATGCAAAGGTGAAGAAGCCATGCACAAGTCTGGTATCAGCGTGCGTTGAAAGTTTTTGAGGTTATGCTTTTCTTAAGTGAAGTCTGAGGACGTTTTGACAGCGTTTGGATTGGACCGAGATCCAAAATACGATTTTTTTGGGCATGACATGGCTGCCAGGAGCAATGGGTCGACTAATATTTGGAATCATTAGGCGCCCCACACTTTTTTCCTGGTGGGATATTGACCAGCCAACACAACACTTATATCAGTAAGCAAAAGCTCTCTTGCTGCCGCACATGCTGCGATGGCTTCCCTGCAAGAATTGGTTTTGTCCGACATTTACGGTAATGGTATTTCAAGGTACCGCAAACGAAGTTTTGAAGGCAGAAGTGGGAGTGAGCTGAGATTTCAGAATGGAGTCTGATTGTAAATCGTGGTCTCAAAGTATATGTCTCGTGAGACGGAGGATAAATATTAAATCATGGTTTCTGAAATATCCCCCGATGGAGCAGAAAGGAATAGCTGTCTCCTCTGGCGGGGTCGTTAAAGAGTGGTATCGACTGGCTGTCACAACCTCCCGTGCCAGATCCATCGGAGTTGATGGGCTCAGTTAGTTGCGAGTTGAAGGGCCAGTCCCCCAAAATGAGAAGGATGATCAACCTTATCACAATGTGGCGGTACGGCTAAGTTAACACTTGCGTGTGATTGGCCTGTAGTGCGGATCAATCAAGCTAAACCTAGATAGTCCCAGCGGTGGTAAAGTCTCGCATATTTCCTTCAGCAGAACCGTTTGTATCGCTAACAGAATTATATCATCGGGTATTGTGCAAGAAATTTCAAGACGTTGAAGTCAACGAATTGCACGGAGAAGAATGTAATCTTGTTCTTTCGTCATGGATCCATCAGTTATTGAGGACATTTACAGAGAACCAAGTGCGAGGAGTAGGACAACTTTCCGCATGGATCCATCAGATACTTCAATCTCCGTTGCTACAGAAACATTTTAATGAGGGGAAAGGATTCACCACAAGTGTCCTATCTCGACTATAGCAGTGCGTTACGAAATTGACTTGGTGCCAGGAACCGAAATTGCGTCATGCGGCAATGTCGTTTATCTATATAATACGAAAAGGGGTAGGTGAATAGAAGTTAATATCTAAACACGACGCCAATTTTCTGTGTCAGCGAGGCTACCTTAAGTGGCGATTTGAGCGTACTTCAAATAATCTCAATAAAGTAACGAAATTGGAGCAAATGCCGATTCTCCGTAAAAACGGCATGGTCAGCTGTAGCTTGTTTAGTGCCTCAACCGAGTGGATAGTTAATATCAACTGCTGATGCGGGGCCCTTGGAGTGTTACAGGGACTGTCTAATGCACCGGTGACGGTTCATCGTCAGATGGCACGTTAATCGTCTGCTGACACTGATTTGTAAGCCACGTTGTGAATTGTAAGCACCAGGTTTTACGATGTATTCGCTCATACTGCAGAGCGTGGACAATCGAATGTCGTGAAACACATTATACCCTTGCGAGCGGTGCTCGAGTGTAGGCGCTCGAAGAAGCTATGTGTCAAAAGAGACAGCTTACAGCGGGGATGCCGTCGCTCTTTGCTTAGAGGAAGCTAAGCTAAGGTCAACGACCTTACGTTCTCTACATGAACGATACAGCGGATCGCAATCCGCTGCCTCAAAAAGTACAGAGGACCCTAACCAAGGTAAAAAGACCTTCCGTTCAAAATTGAAACTAATAATTGAAACTATATTTGAACGTTTTAATTGCGGCAAAGCCGCCAATATCTTAAACCTAATAAATATAGTAAAACGTAATCACTATTCATTACTACTGGCAATCCTGCCACGTCGTGGCCTGTTGCCACATCATCTTGTGCGACCCGCCATTTCATAGAAGAATACGTGTAACCCCTGTTACACGACTGTTTTTTCAACGCCCGATAACTCATAATTTTAGTTTGCTTTATTGATAAACAAGGCTTGCAAGAAGATCTCACAGGGCTTAATGGCATTGTATATTGGCTGGTGAAAAATGGATTTGGCCAGATCAGCTACTCCACAAGTATAGTGCAAAATATGGCCACACGGCACAGCTTTTCACAAAGCTTTTTAAACGACTATCAAATGGTTTCGAGGTGCGGTGGAAGCGGCAGCCTCTAGGGTATTAAGACGAAGCAACACACGTGCCCCAATCCTGGCTTTCTCAAATCCAAATCGACTATTGTGATGCTCCAGCCGCTGCTATGGGTTGTCTCTCGCTCCTATAGACTTTGATAATGGACTAAAAATAATTTTGGATGAGTTCTTCTAGCCTTTAAGCGGCAGAATGAAACTACGCTGGTCTTCACTAGACTCTTCTTGCAATTAAGTGAGTTTTTGTCATGTTCGGATTGCACTGGTCGGCTATCAGCCGTTTGCGGAACACAGATCATGCATCGTTGCACACAGCGACGTCGACATCTCTCACAGGAAATAGTGAAGATGATGTGACTTCATAAATGATAGGGCGGCTAGCGAAGCGTCACAGAGTAAATATCTTTATTATATTCAGATGTTCAGATTTTTGTAGTTAGTTTATCGGAAGAAATCCTAAATATTTGAGCTATTGGCGGAAAATAAGAGTGAGTGATAAACACTTACGAAAGTTGCAAAACGGATTGCTGTCGCAATGTCTGTCGCGGAATCGAGAACCTCAGGTTTTCGGACATATATATTGCTTCAGCTAATCGTGTTTACGCCTATACTCTATGTCTTTTGGTCTATTCCAGTACATCGCTGATCACAATGCGTTCGGAATGAGGACGTCAGATATGGCAGTCTGACACACTAGTGACTTTTAGTTGTTTGAGGCACAGCCCCCCCCAAAAAAAAACTCATTAAAAAGAAGGTCAAATAATGTTGACGGTAGCGGTAGTGCTTAATGTGTTGACAGGTGTATTTTCACGTTGGCCTGACTACAAATTACCACATACGTATTGATAATGTGGGACATCCATGTCAGTCACAAAATGTATTGCATAGCTGAAAATTTTTGGAGCCGAGAAATCTTCAAAGTCAAATTTGCCTTTGTTCAAGCGCTCAAAAAGTTAAAAGTGCTATCCTTTTCCTAAGGCTTGCTGTATATTAGCTCAGACAAATTTGATACAATAGTTAGGACGGTATCTCGTGAGTACGATACTCTTGGGAAAAAGAGGTTATACCGGGAGAGCCGAGACAAACGACGTAAGCAGGGCTACAAAATGGTGGTCGTTTATGTACGGTATCTCGTGAATACAGTACCCTAAAAAAAGTTAATATCGTGAGAGCCAAGACAAACGACGTAAGAAGGGCTATAAAATGGTGATCTTATATGTACATATAGGTAAGCACGTAAGTGCACACTAGTTAAAATAATATACGGGTAAAACCTTCGCTGCCGCATGCATCAATGTCATTATTCAGTCTGCCAATTCTGGCAAGTTGTCATAATTTATGGTCTTTCAAAGCGACTCTTGTGATTATCCCGCCATTGCATTTTTCTGGTCGACATGATCCTGGCCATTCATTACTCTGCTGTCGACGACAATATCGCCGGTGATGATACAGCAAAAAATGTTACTAAACAAAACATGCTGACAACATGTTTTGCCATTGGCTCGGATCAAGATTCTCGATTTACGGGTAAAAAATGGCGATTACTGCTCATATAGCTGATTGTCAACTGATCTTTGTTGAGACAGAAATTACTATTGGGGAGTTGAGGGTATCCTCCGAATTACTTACGCGTATAAGCCGCGATTCTGGAGCAACATGCTCTTGCTTGTTGAGTTTGCATTAAAGAGTGTAGTACACACCTATACAAACTCTACGGAGCTTTTGATAAATATTTGTCGAGCACTTTGTGATCGCTTGACACCTTACAGCTGTTCAAGTCTTGTTGGGAGAGGAGTTGTCCATGCTAATCAATTTGCTGACATCAGATCAGACCGACTGAGTTTCAGAACAATATTGAGAATCTCATTCGAAACGAATTAGTAGTCAGAGACCCAAATTGCGGCTTTATGGCTGAATCCTAATATTTGCAAAAGCAGAATGCAAACACCAGATGCAGATAAGTACGCTTTGTTTTCGCTGGCTAGAACAGTTTTAGTTCATGCGATTATTCTTTCGACACATGCATTGTCTGAAGGCTAAAAAGTTATAGCGGACTTTTACTATGATGGAACTCTCACAGATGCGGCCAGTAGAGATGAAGTTATACTTCAATGCCGGACCCTGACACCGCTCGCATGATCCGCTCAGGTACTACTGAAAGCGTTTGTCATGTTGGCCACAAGAGCCACGTCGATCTTGATGGCTCGGCGAATCATCAGCTTAACGAAGGAAGAAAGATGGCACTGCCGGTGTAATGGGCGCTTGTAGGCTTGTTTTAGTGCAGTGCTGCTTGGAAAAAAGTCCTGACGCAGTTCATGCTCAAAGAACTTTCGGTGAGAGTACGCTGTCTTAGTTTTAAAGGTCCAGTTATTCTCCCCGTAGTGTTCTCGTTTCACAGGGAAGTGTAACACCATAAAGTATGTAGACCACCTTACACTATGCTCCTTAAGATTTAGATCAAAGCTTGAGAGCATCGTGATCAAATAGCATAATCGAATACTAAAGACGAGACCGAAGGAATGTTAGCTAGCTTCAATTTTAACCAAGTAAAGTGCTGGGTATGAGAGGCGCTAGGTACCGCGTCTTACGGCTGGCCCAAGAGCTCATTCTTTGTACGTATTTTAAAGAGGTCTCCGCGAGTTAGAGCTTCTTCTGTGTATGGTGCACAGTGATAACATCTTTTAAAATTTTGGGATATCTTACTACAGGTCTCTTGTAATTGTATAAATCGTTCAAGCCTTCTTTTGTCTAATTGAAATATCACCTAAAATTAACAATCACAAAAAATGCTATTGCTTAAATTGTATATTATGAATGTTCGTCGACCCAAACTTAACTCGCTTCTCTGCTTCCGACCTCATTTCGTTCCTCGTATTACCTGCTTTTTTTCATTAAAACGCCATAGGTCACTTCATTCACACGTACACACCGATCATGTCGAGTAACTTCTGTGCTGTTTCTTGTTATTTTTCGTTTCGGATACTCTGCTCTTGGGTCGAATAAGTAATTTAACACACGGGGTCCCAGGTTATCTCCCAAACATTGGGTCTTGAAAGTGATGATACAAGAGCAGACGATAGCGGTAGAAACGGAAAGTCTTGACGCCAATGAATGCACTCAACAAAGAGTGCTACAGATCTAAATTTTGCATTTGTGTCTGCAAATTCTGGCGCTGTTGCTGCAGCTGGGGTGGCATTGACACTGGTGGTTGTGCCGCATGATTGTAACGGATCCTATTGTTTCGTGGAGTCGAGTGATTCGAAAGCTCGTCATCGTCCTGAATACCGCTTTCATCCAGCCGTGAGCCATGAGCGTGTAAGTGGCCAGCCGTGCCAAAAAAATGGGGTAGCCGAATCTTTTTCGTCGGTTTGATTGATAATACAGTGCGACCAAACTTGACGTGTAGTGACTGATTGTTGTGAAGCGTGAGTGGCCGGTAGATGTACCGCAGAGTACCATTTGAGCTCCCAGCGTCTTTAAGAAAGAATTCACCCTTGGAATAGTGAATCTCAGCATGAATCGTCGACACTGTGCGGTATTTAAGGACAAGATCGCACTGTGAGGAGCGTCCCACCATCAGAGGACGATGAATGTCATTGTCCATGAGCATCTTGCAACTCAATTGATAGCGCGTGGACAAGTTCAAAGTCGATGACGAATGTTTAGTCACTACCTGAAACATGATACATGGTGGATTCAATCGATCTGGAAGAAGTGACAGCACCTTGCCATTTGGAAGTCGAGTCTTGCTGGGGTATGGAGCTTTGCAGATAGAGCACGTGCGTGCATTACTTTCGTCTAATACCGTACAAATTTCATTCTTCTCACCATTGGTGTTCCAACGTTTCAGACAATTCAAATGTATGTACTTGGTATCACCCGAGCATTTACAAGGTGCTATCAAAGGATTTTCGTCCTCCGTTTCGTCATAACAGACGTAACAAACGGCACTGGTGCTTTGTCTTTGCAACGATGCACGAGGTTTCGATTCGTCATTGCCCGATGCATCTCCAATATCATCATCTGTATCCAAGCCACTGTCAACATCCGCCAATGCTTCATCATGACAAACGACTCGTTGAATGAGAGTATTGACTTCAGATGGACTTAACGTCGCATCATTTGGACCATTACCTCCCGTATCAATTTCCGAGACCAGAAGACCGACACTACCAAAACGAATAATATCGCCAACCCGAATTCGATGTTTACCTCCACGAATGCATTTTGTGCCAAGTATCTGACACACACCCGTATGAGCTGAAAACTTTTCCGAGGATGGTAACAATCTGTACGCGTCGTTCGAGTAATCAATATTAAGACACGGAGCTCGTGGATCTTCAATATAAATCTTTTCACGAGAAGACGAGTCGGTAGCTGAAGCAGCCGAGTGTTTTGGACCATAAATGGAAACGCCACAACGTGAGACGCTCTTGCGAAATTTATCGCGCTTACCCGCTGCGCCCTTTGTAACTGCCGTCATTCCACGAATATCAAGCCTAAAAGAGTAATAGGATTAGTATAAACAAGTAAATGATCACGTCTCGACACTTTAACTTACATGTCGGGCTTTCCATCGCCACTAAAGAATTCAGTAGCACGTGCGAGGCTCCACCTTCGATCTGAATTAGCACTCATTCTTCAGGAAATGAATGTGGGATTAAGAATGCGAGAAGAAAACGGTAGCTGCGGCTTCCTTAAGCTGTTTGACTAAGTGTCCGGAGTTTCCGGGCTGCGTCTTCCAAGCGCTTTCTTTCCTTTTGGCAAGTTGGGGGCGTTTTGTCGCGGATCGACTTTCCAGTGCGAGGGGGAGAGAGCGAGAGGGGCCAGTTCGCTCTTAATGTACCGTCATCACTGTCAGTTTTATTAATTGGTAAAAATTATTTACTAAAGGGTATTGACAATAAATACTAACAAAATTGTGGCTAAATTAATCTGTTAATGATCAAGTCTTACAAGATATTTAATTGAAATAATTTAATACAGCGCAAAAAAAGGAAGGGCTTTTATTATGGTCTTTCAAAAAATACACATCTACCCTAACCCTCAAGCGTAGTAATTGAAACAAATGGTAGGCTGCCTTGCAGTCCACACCTTTTCACTAGCCAAAGTCTGGACTGCGTTCCGCTCTACCATGCTGTTAATGTACAGTAATGCGACGTTGCAGACCTCAAATTGCTACTGTCTATAACTTGATCCGTTTCCACTTCTGTAATTCCGTCACGATCTGTGAAACGCCACAAGGAAGGCTAGTGAAGAGAGAAACAGACGAAGCCAAGTATAGGTCTAGGCGATTCTGGCACAGTAAAAGTGGACCACTTTTTTTCATTATAAGAACCAAATTAAAAATTTGGGATGATCATATTAATCACAGATCAGAAAGTCTGCATCTAATAGAGATACGGTCGAAGAATGAGCACTTAAATATGTCATTATATCACTCTGTCTTTTCGAGGGAATCAATTTATGGACTTAACATGGAGTAAAATTCAGTCCATATACTTTGGGTTCGCACAGTGGATACATGTATCGACAGCATGATGAAACGGTAATAGAGTCCAAATGAGCGTGAGGGAAGACTTATCGCGAACGTATCGTTTGAAGACTCTATTGCTGAGTTTACACATAAAGGAATCGATTCGATATTAAAATGAAGTATGAAGAAGAAGCCAACAAATTCGAAATTATTCACAGTGGTACTATACTCTAATATCGGAACGGAGTAGTACTGTATAAACGGCGGACCGGCATTGTAAACATTCAGAAGGGTGGACCACATATACGAAAGCATCACGATGTGCACAATACAGTATAAGCCCCTAAGGTAGTGCTGACTAATAACGTAGTGGTGTTCAGATAGTCTATCCAGTGCTGCTTATGTTGTGCGGCTTGTCGGCATTGTACACGTCGTTATTTGCGCAACTTGATTTTTTTAATTATCATGATAGTGCAAATCTTACGCGTGAATTTTTTGATAAAATAATCAGATGAACTCTATAGCGTATGTTGCAAGAACCCCATGTTCTGGTGGGTGATTTTTTTAAATTAACAGACTGAAAAAAACAACAACCCTCGTCGAACATTGAAAGACAATATTGATGTGAATCTGATTCTAGTAGTAAGCCCAAGCGTTCGTGATAACGCGCTTAAACCAAATGCAACCACTTTTCTTAACTAGACTTTTGCAATTACGTGATCGGGACATTGATACTGTGTTGATACTGCCCACTGAGTAAAGTCACGAAATTTTTATGTTGAATATGCACTTAAGTATCTCACTGGAATTTTTGTAATTGTGACCTAGAAGAGACTTTTGAAGCTGAAAGCATATGGAAGTTGCTTCAGGTCAACGAATTTGTTCAGAAGTACTTTTAACATTAAAACAAATGGATCTACAAGTCTGGATATCTACTGTGTTTTCCTCTTTAACATGCACATCGCATTGACAATTCTCAAAGAGGTTAGTCTAACAGACTTCGATAATATCCACTACGTTTGAGAAACAAACCAAAGCTTGGTTTCCGCATCATCATCTGTTGGACAAATTTGATTGCAATGTAATTAGTTAAGTAGTGCAGGGTAATACACCGCAGTATCGCATTGTGATTGAGGATATTTTATACCATTTAAGCGCATCATGACAAGACACTCCTCGTATGTCTACAGGCACACAATCATGTGCGCATAGTCGACGGCTCGACTATGCGCATATCCAAGGACAAACTCAACGACACGGCTAACACACCGGTCGCATGTGTGTCACTAAAGTCAGACGCAATCAAAAACGTCGGGTCGGCACTGGGCTCCTGCAAGTGAACAATTGGTCAAAGTGGATTCGCAGTGTAGTGCTCCGCGCGGTCGTGGCATCGCAGACCATAATTTCCCCGGTAAACCAATTGTTGTAGCGTTTTATTTCAACACAGGCCTCGCAAAGACAAAAAGTTGTTGTTCATAACGACATTTAAGGACTGTTGGAAGTATAAAGTGAATATTGCCGCGAATAATCCAAACATCGTCGCGAATCTTAGCCGATTATCTCGCTTTATAGGGGCATTTACTCTACACTTTAGCTATTCAGAAGGTCAAACATCGTTAAAAAGTATGCATACGCAGAGTATGTGTATCAGTCATGACTTTTGAAGTTTAGTTTGGTCAATTTTTAACTGGATTAGAATATTTGATGAACGTAGACCTTCACTTAAACTAGATCAAGCCAGACAAACTTATTTCTCACAGGTTGCTTTAGTAGAAATGATTGCGTTCAGTAATCAGTAGCATTAATTAATCAGTAACTTATTCTCCTGGCTATTTTCTAGGTACTAAACTCAAGTACATCTTGTCATGCACAACGTTCCGCTGGTTAGACTGCGCCCCGAATTGTGACATCCGTCGGCTATTCTCATACTGGCTATTAGTTAACTAATGTAAAAGCTCAGCTTGTGATAAAGATGCCGAGATACGGCAATTATTAACAGGGCTGCAATTGCATGTAACCCTAGTATCATATACGTACCTATCACACCATTGTTTCAGCGAGACTTAGAAATAGTACGTATAATGATGAATATCAAGATTGGTGCTCGGTCCGGATGAAGAAGAAGGAACTCCGTAAAGAAGAGGTCCGAAGGACACATGGGCTGCTAGACATTACATAATGTACTATTATTTTCAAGTAGTATAATAAAAGCAAGGCTCAATTCCGAACAAATAATTTTTAAAGATTAAGTTCTACGAGTTTCGATTCGGTGCCTGGGCAATACGTGCGAAGCCAGCCTCTGTGCGCCCAAACCTCGATTGTCCCGGCAATATTGGTCTATATCTGGTAGTACTTGGCATCATTCGGACAACAGAGTCGGAATGGCGCTGCATCCTCTTTGGCGACATGCTACGTCATCCACCTATTCGTGAGCTAACGAGACACTCTTTCGTGTGTCACAAAATCATAGCCAAATAAGTAACCCACGGGGCGAAGGCGGGTTTTGAGTCTGGGCTCACGATGCGCCGTCGGCGCACCTCATCTATTCCTCGTCATCCCATACTGACAATGGAGTGTCTGACTCGTATTCGACTTCCTCCAACTCCTCGACGAGGTATTCCTTCGCCCGGGGCGGGCTGGAGATGCTCACAAGCTATCACAATGCGCTAATAAGACATCTTATGAAACGCTTCAATCGAATGTCTGTGCGAGCATTACTTACCTTCACACTGAACTCGCTATTGCTCAATATTTCAGCTTGTGATGAAAGAGACAAGAAATGTCTCTCTCTTCGATAAAGACGAGCTAACACGGCAATGATCCTGGCCGTGCAATAGCGCGTCGCACCAGCCGTCAGTAAGTTACGAGGCCGCTCGTGGAAGCAGCATTTACGTGTGGTGTAGGACATTCTCAACATAAGATAGTTCAAGCGGCAAATATTGCGAAAGCTTGCCCCGCCGACTCAAGCTAGACATGTGCGAGAACGGAATCTTGCCTGCTCGTCAATAAAGGTTGCGTAATCTGCGTACTTGGTCCAGGATATGAGACCTTCGACAGCCTGTATTGCGGAACCGATTCTGGAAGCAGAAATGGCTACGTCCTTCACGAAGGCCTCGGTTTCTCTCGTACCAAAACTTTTACTGTACACCGAAAATCTTCCGTAACAACGGAATGTGCTGCATAGCACGTGAAACACAACATCCGTCAGGACCTGAAGGGCAATGGTTCTATGAGCCCGCCTGAGCGAACGGATCTTGGCTAAGTCTTTCAGCTTTTGAGCAGCGCTTTGGTACTCGCAAATAATAGCTTTAAATTCTGATGCCCTAAGTATCCCTTCTCTTTCAGTCAAAAGATGGAAGAGTTTGAGCCGCTATGTAAATATAACACACCTTTCTCGGGGACGTCGAGTCCCAGTATTATTGAGAATGGATAGGCTCAATTGTACCGTGTGAAGGTTAGATTTGATAGAACCCGGCCTCACAAAAAACGACTATTGTAACAAGAGGTGCCGAAAATATTGGTTGGCAATATCAATGGCTTGGCCTCCCAGCACCAGAGGAAGATCTGATATTTTATGAGCCTACAACATGCTTTTTAGTGGACCTGGGTCTTCGTGTGTTCCGTGTGCAGATACTCGTGCAATTAGGAATGAAACACAAATGTCAAATGTAATACTTAATAGGCGGGGAACGAGAGAAGCCGAAACTCTTATGTGTGTATTGCGACGGGGAAGCATATCAAAGTGCCGTGAGTTCTTTTGAACCTGCCTTTAGTGTTTGAATTCTTTGACAGCGCGGAGCGCTGCTAGGTCAAGCACTTGGATCCAAGATAAATTCTCATCCCAAGAATAGCCTAGCTAAATCTTTATGAATCACAAACAGACTAGAAGCAACAACATTACTAGCCGCGCACTTTTTTGAATTGGAGAATCGTCGGGTCGTAGCTTCGCCACCACCTGGAAACAATGAGCTTTTTGCTCGAGCGCAAAGCTTTGACATCGTCGGTGCAGGGGCTTCAAAACATTACCTTATTCGAACTAAATAGCATCGATATTACCGAATTCCTCCAGCTTGACTCATGGCAGCGAGCTGTGAGCTCACGGCGCATCTCGGGTAGACAGAGATTAGTCGTGCTATTCTGAAATCTCTAGAGCGTAGTTCTAGTGGTAGATACAATTAGAATTGTTAGCAGATGTTCGCAGAGGTCATTGCGGGTGAAAAGGCGAGGATCGACAGCGTGGTGTGATTTGTAAGCTGGAGCTCACGGATACATCAAACACGACAAGGCTTCGCGTTCTATGGAACAAAGCCCCTGGGTACGAGCAACGATAGATTACGAGTAGACGACCACAACCCTGATATCATAGGTTGATGATCTAGCAGTATCCTAGATAAGCGAAACCGTGAGGCGTGTCTGTCTTGCGGAGCATATAAGCTCTCCGATATTGTGGCAAGAAAGCTAGGCTGAAGTGTTTTGATTAAGCGAGGGAAATTATTCCTCGGGAGTGTTACCCAAAAATAGGTGGCTCGAGTTCAATCACTGCGCATAACGCCACCAAATCGCGATTTGAAAGAAACAAACATGATTTTCAAAAGAATACTGCGTCACACAACAACGGATCAGTTCAAGGAAACACATTGGCATCATAAACGCTAGCTTAGTGAGCAAAACTGAAATTTCTGACTTGGCGCCGTCCTTTTGTGTCTGTAAGCCAAGAAGCCAGTGGCGACTTGTAATGATAAGAAAGATGCAACCATCAACTCAAGCAACTTTTGTTTTTGTAATGATGAAGTGACAGAGCATTATGGCCGATTTCAACTTGGTTAGCTCTCTTAACCTCAATCATAGGTATAATTAAAGGCATTTTCAAGGCACTGACATCTCTCTCACTGAGGTCTGGTTTCCGAGCAAGATGATCCGGAATTGGCAAATTATACTCGATAGCTGTCTACAATATCAGCGACCGTCTGCTAGCGCATCTGCGGCGGAGCTACCATAGCTCTTTGCTTAGAGGAAGCTAAACTAAGGTTAACGACCTTACGTTTTTCCCAAGAACCAGTATGAGTGTAGCGGCTCGTAATTCGCTACCTCCAAGTACGGAGAACCTTAACTAAGGCAAACAAAGACTTCTGTTCAAAATCAAAGCGGTATTTAATTTTTAGTTGCGGCAGAGCCGCCAATATCTAAAACCCTAGGTTTTAGTAATTAATATAGTAATACCTAATTAATATAGCAAGATCTACTTAATATAATATTATGCATTATTACTGTCAATCCTGCCACGTGGTGGCTTCTTGTTACGGTGGAGCCACACCACTGTGTGATTTTATTACCTTATATAATACACACCTAAGTCCGGTTGCACAATCTTGTGCGACCCGCCTCCCGTTACAGTATCTGTCTTCACCGCATCAAACGTGCATACCAAATCAGACGTTATATTTGTCGACATGCATGCACAGAATAATATATCACATCTAGGAGTCAAAATCAAACCGTGAGAGCAGTGATCGAATGTATGTATCGCTTGATTGAGCTGTTTGTCAGTATAGACAAGTGTGTCACTGGCACCGGCAAATTTTAAGTTTTTTAGCTTCAAAAACGATTCGTTGAAATGCGTGGTGGCTAAGTGGATTCCGCAAATATGAAGGCAACTGGTGTCACTATTTCAAAACGACTTGAAAAAAAGTTTCGCCATGCAAATACCTTGCAACGTACAGTGCGAGCTATGCCAGCATGACCAAGCCCCTCATCACTAATTTACCAGAAGCATGTAGAATGGTTTAGAAGTCGGCGGCCTTCAAAACAATATCATCACGCCTTATGTGTGTCCGGATTTTAGCCCTTCTGGATTTGAACAGCCATTTGCTGCGCTTCGGCCATCGCCACGGGCTGTTTTTTTTTCCGAAGCACGGCATGTGCACCTCTTTGCCCTGCACATTGACAGTTTTTAGCATTAGACATGGCATGGAGCGATTTGATGTGAAGTATTCGATTGCCAAGTTCGAGGTGCACCAGCTCGTGGATTGCAATCATTAGTGAATTTACAAGAATAGCGTCGTTGCGACCAGTCGACACTTCCTTGCAGAATTTGGCGACATTTTTGTCAATAATAGTCGATTCAACTGGTGATGTAGAGTATTTAGTGACAGGATGGCATAAGCGCAAATGAATTTTCCAAGGTGAAGAGCTATTGCCTGTCACGATGATTATGTCGCATATCGACGAGGAAATATATACAGCGTTCCGATCAGACGCAGTATGATTTGCAGTTGTAAAGGCCCTAAGAAGCAATGAATTTGCTATTGCGTGCCGCTTGACTGAAATTTTAGATGAAATGAGTCTTATAGCTCATATCTGTCGTTTACTTGAGGGCTGGACCGCGTTACGTGAAATTTACACAAGATACCACAGAGCTAAGCACTTTTAGTAGGCTGGCTTACGCCTACTAGAACTTGGCCTACGAGGGGTCGGTTGGTGGGCCCTGCGCTGAAGCGCAACTTTTTAACTATCCCGACCGAGAGAAAACGGCGTGGATTACATCCATAAAGAGGCATTCAGATCTCATGTGCGCTACCTGAGCGGTGCGTATCAAGAATATTTGAACAATCTTATCAGGCGTCCTGCGTGCTCTCATTTTTAGCGAGTCATTAAAGGCAACTAGATTTGCTTACGTGACCTCTTAGGAGAAAGGTAGGTCTTCACACAGATGCGGCAAGCACTCGAGAAATTCCGTGTCCATCCAACGTTTTTGAGGAGGTGATGTCACATTGCTGCAAATGACCAATCAGTAAGGGCCGATTGAACGCGGTAGAGTGGGAGCCGGTAAAAGCATCAGAGACAATAGATCTCGGTAAAGTTGAGAACGACACGAGCAATATTTTGCTGCTGAGTATAGTCGCGATATCACTATCTGCATGCGATACATCTTCTGCGTACTCCTATTTCTTGGTGGAGAGATGCGAAGAGTAGAGGACTAACGCAGCATCTGGTAGGCCTGTCGCGAGAAGCCGTCCAGTGTTGACACAACTACCGCAAAATGTTATTTGTTGATATTTGTGAAGGTACAGGTCACTGGGAGAAGCAATCCGTCTCAGAAGGACGGAGATCCCAATCCATGTTTGTTAATTGAAGTTCACAGATGCTGTAGAGCCATAACCTCTTATGGTTGTAAATGAGTCGAAAATTTACGCGCAACGCACAAGCACTACCTAATGATGTCGGGTACCAATACCGTATCCAGGCGTCTCGCGACGAGGATATTCGCTTTAATGTCTGGTGTGCAGCCGGATCACCTATGAAGAGACTGGGTCTTAGGCAACATGAAGCAAGATTTTTCAAGTCAACATTTGACCTCGTTTCTAGAATATCATGAGCTGAGGGATGGATAGTTCTGAAGCCGAAATTGTTGTGTACTCGCACCCCTCGACTTAGTAAAGATTTGGTAGGTCACGTGATTACCTCTTCTGGAACGAAAGGCACAAATCTGCAATAACTTTTGACGCAGAGCTTGAGCCCGTCAAAAATATTTATTTGCAATAATGCGCAGCAAAGCTTGAACGGCAAAAAAGGCTGTGAGCCGACGGCTTCATTAATGACGGAAATGAGCTTGCAAAAGAACACGATTTTTTTATAATATTTCTGCAGACATGAGTGATTTGGAACTTCTCGTTTAGATAGCGTCTGTAGCTGCGCTGCCGTCCTCGTATGACACTTCAGCTTGGACTGATTGAGTCATTGCTTGTCGAAGCCTTGAATATTGAAATTGATCAAATTGTCTACGCCGCACCATTTACGCAAACCCTATGGAGCCAGAAAGACATCATTTGCGATTTGGACCGATAATTTCTTCGACTTGACACTTATACTCCTTCCTTATGTGACAGTAAAGCTGGGCTGGCAACAGCGAGAGGCGTGTCTACTCTCTATGAGCCTTCAAAATTAACGAGTTTTCATTAATTTGTGAAAGGAGCTGCCGCAAGTGTTCTAGAACGTACGAATATTACTTGTTGACCTCGGGCAGCAGCTCTCGCAAAGCTTGACCCTTTTTCTTCGGGGGATGTGCGCAAAAAAACAAAACATTTGCTGAAATTGTAGCAACTAGAATATAAATTCGCCACTGGACCACTTGATGAAATTTGTGAAGTATCTATTTCCAAGCATTTTTTCCTTTTGTATATAAAACACCAATACGTGATGATCAGAGAGCCTTCACCCACACTTCGACCTCCGCCATGGACTTTGCTGTACATAATTAGGGTTACATCTGGCTTGTTTAGACCTCACCAGCCTAAAACAGCAGATCATTTCACGATAGGGGGGCTATCTGCTATAAAGTATTCCTTCGTCAAGCCCACGCTCCACCTGCTCGGCTCAAATGCGTGTATGATCATGCGGTATTACGCACAGCGACACCTCCTACATAGAAAGTGAATGTCCCATCTTTGCCAAGCATAAATTTGTGGTGTGATTAAAGCGTAGTCAGCATTTTAAGTAGCAAGTGCAATGTTGTATCACCCCGACCTGATTTTCTTTATGTTATGACGATAATGTCGAGTATTCTCGATGTGAAACATACGACATACAAGTCAATATACATCTGCGCTGCATTTCTCCCAAACCATTACCTTCACTCGAATATATCTCATTTGGAAGCGCGTTTCCACTACTATTAATGTCCCGGGCATGATGTAGAACAAACCTACTTGGCACGAGGCATGTTGCGGATCTTCATGACAAAAGCCTCACCCACAGACTGAGACACACGTTGCTCCTCTAGAAGGCTACCTCGACAGAAAAAAGCCGACATACAACTGAGATATCGATATGTGGTGGTCTTTAGGATGCTCAGATTATTTTGTGCTTATATACACACGTATCAATCGTGTTAAATACATAGTCTGCGATAGTTGAAGTACAGGAAATAGGTTTACTGACCGGCCTCGAATGCCATGATGAGAGCTTTTCCAGATGCTGAATCTAATCTGCCTAGATCAGCAGTAATCTATGAGCATTTGAGCCAGCAATTATTAATATTCCATAGATAAGTTTTAGTATCGATGTTGAACACTATAGAAAAAGCACTCAAGGCAACAGTCCACATATCGTACGGGCTTCTTTCTAAACACTTTCGTTCCGTGCCAAGTATTGATCATGGCACTCCAACATAGGATTTATCATGACTTTACCGTGCAGCTTTTAAGCTTCGTTCTTAGTATATGCACGTACACCACTATGATGTACCTACAATATACGCATTCCGTTAGGTCTACCCCCGCAAGCTGCGGAGATCACATAGTTTGCGGTCTTAAATTGTCTCGGTCGCAAGTTGTCATGGATTTAGCCCGCTCCGCTGACTCTATGAGTCGGAAGAGGCAACTCCATCGCAATCTTGCATGACTGGTATACACATACGGGCACACCTATGTTCTTGAGCCGGTAAAGTACCGTCAGCACTTGAGAAAAATTTGAAAAGATCATTGAAAAAGTGATCTGTGACATGCTGGCTGTTCTCGCACGATAGTATGAGAACAAATGACATTTTGCACACACCCAGCATTTAAACTCTACTTACAGGAAGGAATGGCCACCAAACGAAACGTGAGGTAATTATAAAGCGCATCATTTCTCGGATTTTCATGCCTGACACAACTTTGCTGTTATGGGATACGTACACTGTCCTACGAAATGAGGGCAGAGCACAAAAGTCCTAGAGGGTAGTCTCGCGACTAAGTAACGTATTGAATTGCGCTGGTCTGTCTTTAAGTACGACGTCGGAGTGGCAGAACTAAGAAATTGGAAGGCTCGTTGACATGATACTATGCAATACATTTAACAGAACTTTATCTTTGTAGAAATTAGAACTTGTATTCTCTCGGAAGCTAGTTACATTTTAAATCTAAGTTTATCACCTTTTTACCTGAGCAGTATTTCTTTCTTTGTGTGTTCGTTAGCGTGAGCGTTATAGCCGAATGTTTTATCGCCGCAGGGTGCCACGACAATCCGTTTGTACGTTTTGTTGATAACTTGATTACTGTTTTTTGAGAGAGCTAAATTATCTATGAGGGGGTAACACCCGATAACGACCAACCGTAATCCGAGTCAATCAGACACTTCCATCGTTGGTTGGTCTCCAGAGGATAGCACAACCGGCGGACAATGCCCGAGAGCGGTTGCCGAATGCCTGGAGACTTCCACGCGTTATGAGAATGTGAAAAATATTCATAAAACGTTTAGTCAGACAACGGTGAAATCAACTGCTTTTGCAGAGATATATAGCAATGTACCACACCTGTCAAGCTATCAAGTGTTAAGGCTTTTGGAAGCAAAGACAAATAAAACCTAAATCTTTGGATATGGGTCGTTGGATTGATCATGGACGCGTCCCGGGTTCGTATAGTAACCCATCTTGTCACACAAACAATTTCAAGTTTTGTCTTTCAGTAACTGATGCATTTCATCTAAGCAACCGATATCACAAGTATTTTATCCGCTTGACCAGGTCTGCCTTCGAGGATAAACTCTATACTTACTAGCTCAGAAAGAAAATTTTAAAGACGACGTTTAAGCAATAAGAGTCTTACAGTTGGTATGACTGACGCCTGATACATTTTTTTCTTGCATTGGTAACGGTACCATCTAAATGAAATAGGTGTGACACTAACCACGATCCTCGGCTCACACTGATATGGGTAAGCGGAAAAAAATGGCATTGAATGTCGACACAACTTTTGATCCGCTACAGTAACTTAAGAAATTCAGCGAGAGCCACCACCAGGCTGCTAATCTGCCTCTTGATATATGTCGGTTCAGCTCGTGCACCTTGCAAATACCTTTTCTCTCGACAGAGAGGTAAATGGACCCAACTTTTACGCAGATATCCCTTCTTGAGGACGGTATGACAACGCTTGTTTACACATATAAACAAGCTGGATTATACTTTACGGAGGGTACGGTCAATATTACCTAAGCCATAATGCAAATGACTATCTCAAAGAGTTTCAACGATATAACTCAGATTTTTCGGCAGTGTGAGCGGCCCCTGCTAAATTGAGCGGATATCTGTATTTGTGTGCCACGCTTTTTAGTATTTTTTCTTAGCGTGGGTAGTCATCAGAACCAAAAAGGTGCTGTATATATGCGTACTGCGACGTCTTCTTTGTCAAAGGATAACCGTTCAAAGTGATTGATAGCATAGAACGCTGTTTGGTTCTGATCTGGGTACGAGAAATGATCTCATCTTTATTATTAACCCAAAAGCTTTTGACTCGAAGTCAAAGACTGAAAGATTACCATGCAATTTATTTCTAGTGGAGCTTTGGCGATTCCAATGCCTGCCTCTGCTTCATAGCTGAAGCGCTTTTGGCGTGAATTGATGCTTCGAAATTTTTATACAAGGCGGTGTTGCTTTAGCCCTTAAGCACAACTTGGATGACAACGGGGGGATCGAGATCAAGATCGTACAATGTTGACTAAAGCTGGAATGCTGACCGTCTGCAGACGTATAAAGACACTGCTAGAGTGTGTTCGGGAAATAAATATGAGTCATCTGCTTCATAGTGTGCGGGTACAGCCGAGCCGGCCACACCAAGTAACGTGTCCACCTAGCATAGCATTGAGTCTAAACAAGTGACGGGGCTAGTATAAGAGATGATTCCTTATTTATTTATACTAAAGATTGAAGCACTCGTAGAATTTGAAAAATACTACTTTTGGAATGCATGCAAAGAAACAGGAGACGCTGGATTCTGAGCTGGCATCATTGTACCAAACAAGGAACTGGTCTTATCATCCGTCGTGTCATTGATGACACGGAAATGCATTGGATGAAAGGGGGTGACAAACTTTGAAGAATTTCACGACTTGTCTTATCGTTGGTCAAAGAAAAACCATGACGGTTCTAGAGACCCGCCATAGCTGTCGCCGTAATTCAAAAGTCGAATACTGCGCAATACGCCAGTGACTCTTACCACGGACATCAAAGCTCAAAGCTAGTTTAGTGAGAGTACGTGAAAATCTCCAATCGGTAAAAGGGCTACCACAAGCAACGAATAGTACACATTTCTATCAAGATAAATGCAGCCACAATTTCGGCGCAAACACCAATGTCCGCAAACGAAAGTGCTGCCACTGATGCATTAAACGTATTCAACAATTAATCGTCACTGATGCAAAAACGACTGAAAATGCACACGGGCCGTTTAATTTACCAGCAACATGAAAAGTTTGAAATTTTAGCTTGCGGGCTTCATCTTGCATAAACGCGGATCTATTCCAGCGTTTGCATTGGTTAAAGACGTGAAGAGTTTCGTGAAGTTGAAAATGGACACTCATGTAGCACAAGCAAGCTGTGTTTGAGTGTATGCGCTTTCATAAGCGGTCGTCAATGAAGACAGATGTACATTTATTGTAGGCAAAATGATGTTAGGGTGGAAACGAGACAGCATTCTCTACGTCGTTTTCGAGAGCTTCACGTGCGACTTCATGCTGGCCTTTCTGAACCTATACGGATATCCCTGACATTGTTCGTGACGTTTCGGTCGTTTCGAAGGCTTTGCTTTAAGCTGAATCGAAGGGCATAACCTCGTTATTCTACTCCGGCTGTATGCTACAGCATACAGCGGGGGAACTATCCATTCTAATACGAAGCGTATCAACGCCCTTCTCAGCTCTTGGTCATTCGCGATTGGTACTCATCATGTGTCATACGCACAGCGATATAATCACATAGATTTCAAAATTAAAAGTTATTTTTCGTCTTCGTCGAGGAATAGACTCATTTGTTCGAAAAAACGAGAAGAGCTCTGCAGTCTCTTACACAATAACTAGCTTTGCAGTCTGCTACCATACTCTTAACCCCACTGCACTCTTATCTCAATCATTACTCCAACTTTAAGTAATGGTCTCGACCCAAGATCGTTCATCCAATAGTTTGTAAGATGTTCGAATTGCATTCGTACGGAATCCTTTGTATGCTTTTGTCCACATTGCGTGCAGATTTTCAATTTGACGTGTTTGATGTTATGAGCACTTTTGATGTTCTAATGCGACTAAGAAAATGAAGACAATTCGATCTTGTCATACAATCAAAAGAGCATGTGTTTCGACATTTCAGATCTTCATATTTCTGCCTCTCGACACGCTACATCCATATAAAATATTGTTTGCAAACTGCCTTGTTTGACAGATAATTTATAATATCAACTAGAACTATTGTCAACCATCCATTAAGACATACAAAAGAGTCGAGACTTTCGTTCTCAGCGAAGTTCACACTTCTTCGTACATATTTTATCTTTTCTGTACATGTATTTCGCATTGCGCCGAAAGCACCACATTGAATTTGCCCAAACTTCACGGTACAATTTCTTCGAGATCGCTAACAACAGTATTCAACTCTCGATCTCTGGCTAAGTGTGCATCACGAAAGACACCAAGTGCGTCTTCTATCTGCACCACAAAGTCAACAACATCCGGTGTTCGTAAATCGGACCATTGAAAGGAGTTGTTGCCATGGTGGACGTACGTGTGGGAATTGACGCAGATATTGCCTGCAGTGATATCGTATCCCAAAAGTTGCGTGAATTGGGAGCGTCCACTGTGAAGCGCCTCACGCCAAAGCTTACGCACATGGTGCTGA